GGCAGCACGGTGGACTGCTGTAGAACTGTCTGTCTGATTATTCACGCAAACGTAACTTGGCCCTTTCAAGGCAGTAGTTCCCACCATATTTTACTTTATTTTCTACTCCAAAACAATGAAACGTCCAAAATTTATGCTTGTTTAAGGAATTTCTAGTAAGCGATTCTAAAGTAATACTCGTAGATACAATCTTTATGTAAAGAAAAAAATTATGTCGGATACTCTTCTGATGTATACTGACTGATTCAATTTTAGTAATTTAATTCGGTTTATTTTGAATTTGTATGCAAAATAGATCCTCCCTACACTTCAGCTTGAAAGACACAGATCACAGCATCTTATGCAGTTGTAACAAGAACCATATTGGAACAAAATTGTATCCTCATGTGCCGTACAAAAGCATTTTGCGTACATTACCCAACTAGTTCCTATTGTGACACCCGATGCTGGTTCGGAACAATCGAGTTTCACGCTCTGTTCGCTTAATTGTTTAATTGTAATGAACGAATGAACGGCGGTCCTTGAGAAGTTACTACGCAAGAAGGAACTGGAAACTTCGAAAACTCCTTACTATAGCTAGATGATTCCTATTTTTTCTATTTATGAGTTTTCTTTCATATCGCTTTAAGACTCTAACTTTTTTTTACGTCGGGAAATGGCTTGTAATAAATGTATCTTTCTTTCTTTATTTCTTTGCGCATACCCACTGGTCGATGGGGACGGCCAGTGAGTTATGTGGGACTCTCCCCGCCTACCAGCCTGACTCTGACTGACTGATATAGCCCGCAGAATCGCTAAAATCAAGTGGCAGTGGGCGGGGCACATAGCTCGCAGAGCTGATGGCCGCTGGGGCAGAAAAGTTGTCAAGTGGCGACCACGAGCCGGAAGACGCAGTGTGGGCAGGCCTCCCACTAGGTGGATCGACGATCTGGTGAAGGTCACGGGCGGCGCAGCACCGGTCTATGTACAAATCCTTGGGGGAGGCCTTTGTCCAGCAGTGGACGTCATTCGAATGAAACGAACGTTTTAAGATCCCCGCACTCTACAGACTTTTAGTCGGTTGATTTTTCGGGCTGTAAATCAGTATGAACATGTTTAGTACATACTGATTTACATACAAGTCGCACAACACAATACACCGATTTGATACCGGCCGACTACAAGTCTGCAGTCTGTGGAAAGTTACAGCACTTTCACATTAGGGCGTTAGTAGCGCGACTACAGCGCGGCAGCGGCGTTTTTGTGAAGGGATGCATCCGCTGCTGTTGCGCTTCTGACGCCCTAATGCAGTGGTTCTTAACCTTTAAGTCACGAGGGACCATTTTACCAAATTTCTGTCTTGTCAGGGAACACTTTTTTTTTTCAAAATCCTATGAAAGGGGAGGTCGATTTCTCGCCCACTGACTCATCACGTCACGTCACTTGTTTATTACGATGTCTTCGCGGACCACTTGGAATGCCTCCAGGGACCGCCAGTGGTCCGCGGACCAACGGTTAAGAACCACTGCCCTAATGTGAAAGCGCTCTTAAGGAAAATGTTAGATCCCGTTACAAGCTTACTTGCCCTACTTACTTACCTCATTTAAGACGTACATTTTTACGTAAGGGTGCTGAAATCCTTACTGAAGATCTCTTTTAACTCACTCTAATTTTGAAAGTCTAAAATTTACTGTCTCAAGTTGGCATTGAATTCACGACCTTTCGCTCGCCGAGTGACTGCTTTGAGTGATTAGCTTTCGGAGACAGTATACGGGTATAACATGCCAAAATTCATCAAAATTGATTCAGCTGATTAGACACGTAGCAGACAGAACTACTGACGCATTTATATTATGAATGAAAACACGTGTAGTTGTTGAGTATATCCGAAAATACACTATTTACAAAAAAAATACAAGTACATCCAAAAATACGTAAATCCAAAAATATTCGTAAAATGCAAATACACTTAAATGCAAAAACAGCTATCAAAGTCATCCTGTATATTGGAAAGCTTATTTTAAGCGGTTTTACAGAACTCACACTTGCCTGCGAAATGTCACACTTATGGGTCAGGGTTGTTACTAACGACTAGTCACGTTTTGTCACATAACGGCAATATTCATGTACGGACGACAGCACATCAACCTAAACATAGTGGCGTCTTATCTCTTTGTAATACAGGCTATTTTGCAACAAAAATGTATAGGTTGATGTGCTGTCGACTGTACAATTCACTTCATCCTTATATCGTCCCTTGTTCAAGTGCTTGTTTCTAGTTTTACTCTTCCATTTATAAGGAGCATACAAACACGAAATAATGGCGAAATTCCATTTCACTCTAATAGCCCTTTTTTGTACCATTATAATGAGAAACTTGAATCTCGAGAGCCATCCACTGCTGGACCCAAAGGCCTCCCCCAAGGACTTCCACAACGACCGTCCGGGCTGTCTACGATTGCTTGATTGAATCTAATTTTAAGCGTCATTTTATAATGCTGAGAGAAAATGCATAGTTAATTCCTTTTTCGAAGCCTATCTGTTCCACCAACCCTACAGTTTGCGAAATCGATTGACTACAATGTGCCCTACTATCTTCAATTTCAAATAGCAACCCTGATGTATAATACACTTAAATACATAAATAGTTATCGAAGTCATCCTTGCCTATTGGAAAGCTTATTTTAAGCGGTTTTACAGAACTCACACTTGCCTGCGAAATGTCACACTTATGGGTCAGGGTTGTTACTAACGACTAGTCACGTTTTGTCACATAACGGCAATATTCATGTACGGACGACAGCACATCAACCTAAACATAGTGGCGTCTTATCTCTTTGTAATACAGGCTATTTTGCAACAAAAATGTATAGGTTGATGTGCTGTCGACTGTACAATTCACTTCATCCTTATATCGTCCCTTGTTCAAGTGCTTGTTTCTAGTTTTACTCTTCCATTTATAAGGAGCATACAAACACGAAATAATGGCGAAATTCCATTTCACTCTAATAGCCCTTTTTTGTACCATTATAATGAGAAACTTGAATCTCGAGAGCCATCCACTGCTGGACCCAAAGGCACCCCCCAAGAATTCCACAACGACCGGTCATGTGCTATCTACGATTGCTTGATTGAATCTAATTTTAAGCGTCATTTTATAATGCTAGTCTGAGGGAAAATGTTTAGTTAAATCCTTTTTCGAAGCCGATCTGTTCCACAACCCTACAGTTTGCGAATTCGATTGACTACAATGTGCCCTACTATCTTCAATTTCAAATAGCAACCCTGATGTATAATATTGTCTACAACATCAGCCGATTGTTTGTACACATTCGAAACCTGTTTTGTTCCCGCGTCAAATGTCAATGCCTCCGGCTAGGGTTGGCACTTGAATTTTGAATAAAGTAAAAGGTGACAGTAAAACTAATGAAATGCACGGTGTAGTTAAATTTTTTGACAATTACAACTTGTGTTTTAATCGAACAATTTTTTGTAGTATCAAAATTGTTCGATTTGCATACTCCGAAAAAATACTTGTTCTATAAAGTCAATAGAAAAATAAGCAACAGAAAACATAGATAGGATATATTTTGAATATTCCGTTATCATACCTACCTGTGTCTTTAATTTTTAGCCTATTTAAAATGTTTTAAAACTGTATGAAATACCTATTTCAGTTCTTTTAATGACACAAAAACAAAATTTCATTGTCATTTGAGGCACGGTATGCATTGACATAAGCTTCCTCCAACATTACTTTTGCAGGAAAACAAAAAATATACGATTGTTAACCCTAACGGCTCTACAGCAAAACACTGCCCCTGTGGCCTAGTGAACGTACACCTCCGGTGCCGCTGTAACAAATACCTACTTTGCTCTATCTATCTAATATTTTGTTGAACTAATGTTGCTTTATTATTACTAACGCAGTTAAACAAACGTTTTTGCTTGAAAACTTGGTCGCGGTACGGTACTTCGTAATAAAATGAATTCTTGGAGTAATTTCCTGATAGTGAAGGTGTTTAAGGTACTCGTAGAGACGATGGCCGTTGGGGCAGGAAAGTTCTCGAGTGGCGACCACGGGCTGGAAGACGTAGCGTGGGCAGGCCTCCTACTAGGTGGACCGACGATCTGGTAAAGGTCGCGGGAAGAGCCTGGATGCGGGCAGCGCAGGACCGTTCATTGTGGAAAACCTTGGGGGAGGCCTTTGTCCAGCAGTGGACGTCATTTGGCTGAAAAGAAGAAGTGAAGGTGTTTTAGGTAAACATCAAGCGAGTAAAACTCGTATTCACAAACATTACTATGAGGTCTCACAGTGCGCATGAACGTACAGAGAGAAGAACGACATATGAATATCACATAGCTCTATTCAACGCTGTGCGTTCGATTTGCTGCTTCACTTATGCATGCAAGCATCGTTTATGAAGTCAGGCGTTAACCTCATTTTTTATCAGGCCAGAGATAACCGCTGAGTAAGATTACTAATACTCCCGCTGAACCTTCTCCAGCTACGGTAGTTTTAGGAGTTGGTTTACCGTAATAGTACAGTACCTCTAGCATGAACAACTTTCGTCTTCGAATCGTTTGCGTATTCGATAAAATTCGATACTCAATCTTCGAATTAAACGATAACGTGACAATTTTGATTCTCAAAATAAGTTTCGTGCAACCACATCTCATACTAAGTTCACTTTACGACACGTTCACAAGGGCGCTGTTGTAGTTTTCTTACTAAATCTTTTGATAGCGATTCAAGTACGCAAACGATTTGAACTCGAAAGTTTTTCGTGCTAGTCGTACAGTAGTCAGCGGAGGTCACACTACACACTAGCGACCTTAATCGACAGTCAGATGCCGACACCGTTAAGTTATTGTCGTCTCAACATAGACTTTTCTTCTTTCTTCTTATTTTGTTTAAGGCCAGATCTGGTATACATATTACAGCTCACAGGGTGACCTCCTCAATGAACTCACTAGATTCAACAGTCATCATAAAATTATTATTATTATTCTTGTTACAGAAACAATCCACACGAAGACAATCCTCTAAGGTTGTCGACGCCCGACCCTCTGCAGCTGGGCCCTCCGCCGAGGGCGTGCTACCCGCTCGTGGTCATCCTGGCGCGCGACCAGAGGGACACGGGGGACCTCCGGCCCGACGACACGGTTAGTTTTTTATTTATGTGACAGGAGGCAAACGAGCAGACGGATCACCTGATGGTAAGTGATTACCGTCGCCCATAGACACCCGCAGACCCAGGGGCGTTACAGGTGCGTTGTTAGTACTGACAGACAATCCCCACGAAGATAACCCCTGAGGCTATGACGTCCGAGCCTCTGCAGCCAGGCCCTCCCGCTCGTGGTCATCCTGGCGCGCGACCAGAGGGACACGGGGGACCTCCGGCCCGACGACACGGTGAGTGACTGAGACAATCCCCACGGAGACAACCCTTGAGGCTATGACGTCGACCCTCTGCAGCTGGGCCCTCCGCCGAGGGCGTGCGATGCTACCAACCAGCTATTGTGGAAATCATTGGGGTAGGCCTATGTTCAGCAGTGGACGTCCTATGCCTGAAATGATGATGATGATGACTCAGTTAGCCAGAAATCGAAGATAAAGTACACTAGAAAACTCCAGCCTGACAACACAGTGCGTCGAACCTCTGCACTTAGCCTTCATTTCCTAAAGGTGTTTTATTTACAGAAGCGGTTTCTAGCCAAAGGCCAGTCGTTGTAAACAGGTCATAAATTACCCAAACATAAAAACGAAACTCTTATTTTTTTTAAAACCTGTTGCTTCATCAACCATCATTGATGGTATGTCAATAAATTGCTCTTGATCTCATCGACACACGTTTATTTTATATTAACCTATTTTGTGTTTGATCGAACGGATTCATTGAAGTTCTCCTATTTAACAAAACGCTGAGTCACCAACCACTACAGCCTTAATTAAAATTCCTCTCAAGTCGTCGACACCGGATTGTCTGCAGCTGTGCACTTCTTCAAGGCCAGCTTGTGTTAAACGATTAACACGCACGTACTGACGCCTCAGAATGCGATGCGTTGCGAAGATTGCGATGAAGCGATGGCTGGTTCACTCGTCATGTCTGTGAACAGGCGCTGCTTTCGGGGATTGGTCAATCCAAGTTATTCAAATTTATGTATGCGAGTCATTTCTACTAGTATCTTAATATGTAAGTCTAGATATTAGCACGTCACTACCTTGTTTAATGTACCACGCAATCTTGTATACCCATTATTATAAGATACACCATACAAGAATGCATGGTAAATTCAGTGAACTGCTCCTGATTCAGGAATGTACCGACTACTACTATTTCTATTTATTTATATTATCCGGCAGACAGTGGTGACTGAGTTTGTTGCGGCGCTTCTTCTCAGCACTTGCCAAATGTTGGTCTCGAAGCGCTGGTAGGGTAAAAAGATTATGAGACATGTAGAGGCTCCTTAAGAGCAAAATGACGATTTGTAAGAACTATTTATTAGTCCAAACAAATAAAGAAATTTTGACTTTGACTTTGAATAAACAATAGTGTTTTCTTATCACTCGTAATGAGGCGATGGAAGGTCTTTTAGCAGGTATTCCATCGGCCTAAAGGCAGATTTTTATTCCTGTTAATCACCTAATAAAAATTTAAACATACCTACATAGATGACATTGCCATATTATGTGCGTGGACTGAAATAATGGACATTCGCACTGCATTACGTTTTAATAGTCCAAAAAATTGGCGACATTGTCGTTCTTTTTGTTTTCTCTGATGTATGGCCCGGTTTCCACCAAAACGAATTAGCGGAGAAGTGTCAAATTTTTCTATAGAATTTGACAGCGACGGACGCCGACGCGGCGTAGAGCGGAACTGTGCGAAGCGGAGAAGTGGAAATAATGAAATCTGATTGGTTATTCAAAACACTTTTCGACTCTTCTCCGCTTTAGTCACAACCAGGCCTTAGTCTGTGATAAAACAGCTGACTAAAAAAGTACCATTTTAAAATTATCTCTGGGTGGGTGTGGTTACATCATCGCAAGTTAGCAATGCCAAGTACCTACGCAGTATATTAGATTTTATCGAAATTCTGCAAACGATTGCGGAAAAACGTTGCAAAATGCAAGGTTTCTGACGTTTGAACCGGTCGGGTCGTAGAGACACCCGTCAACGTTAGATTTATTTACGATCGCTATCGATGTAGCTAAGATCGTAAATCGAGGATCGAACATCGAAACTAATGAAGTAAACTTGCTTATTTATGTGATAGGAATAGCCTGTAAGTTACTTTAGTGTTATTATTAGATCGTCTAGTAAATTCCGGTCTTCCTAATCTATACTAATTATAAATGCGAAAGTAACTCTGTCTGTCTTGCTTTCACGCCTTAACCACTGAACCGATTTTGATTAAATTTGGCATAGTGATAGTTTGAGTCCCGGGAAAGGGCATAGGATAGTTTTAATCCCGGTTTTTGAAACGGGGACGCGCGCGATAATGTTGTTCTGTGACAGACAAAATTCCACGCTCTTTCTCCTCCAACATTTTGACTGATTTAAGAAAATATTATTTGTGAGCAAAACTCCATGGCTCATGATGAAACTTTCCTTCCCATCAAATTGAAATTAATTAAAATCTCTTATCTAATCGCTTGCTACAAGCTGAAATGTTAAAATTGTTATAAAAGTATAGGCAAGTTAAATGATTTTAGCCAGAAGTCTGCTTATCTCAAACAACTAGTGTAAATAATGTAAAAGTAACTAATTTTATTTGGAACGAACTTAAATTCAAGTTGAACACTTCAGTCGGGAGTTCTTATTTTATTAATTAAAAATTAATGAAAACATGAAAGTTTGAGGGCGCATTGTCTTTGAAATTGAAATGCAACTTGTGCAGATTTATGGTCCATGAATGTATTGTAGTAAATCAATGGTATAGTGACATTCAACACCTAACACGCCAAAAAAAATGTCAAACAATGATAAAAAAGATCATTGGAATCGTTTACGGTGCAAAATAACACTAAAACACTGTTTTGGTTACTTTTATTATAACATTTCAACTCCTGATTTATCACCATGATAGCCTTAATGTAATGTTTATAGAACAAATCAGTGATAAAACTAGGGGTATATTCGGGGCTTTGTAAGATTCGTTGTTTGTTGTGACCCTGTTTGCAATTTTGTATCGCCGAAATTTATAAAGCGTCGGCGAGCAATAAGCGTCATGTTTTTTTTTTAATTTGGTACATACGTACGTTTACAACACTAATATAGTGCTAATCGTGAACACTAATTAGTAGGTACGTTCTAAAACGATCTCAGGTCTTTTATTGTACCGGATTTTTCTACTAGGGTTTGTTTTCATTATTAGCAACATGATTGTAAATTCAGCGGCACCATGCTAACGAAAAGCATCAGACGTCAGGTCCTAGGTTTGATCACGTCATGACCCTTGTTTTTTACAGGATAAACGTAATAAAATAGCCTCATACTGAGCATAGACCAATTTGGTACAATGTACTAGTATTTTGCTCTTATGTTGATTTGTACTTATTGTTTTATTTAATAAATATTTCTTTCATTCTTTCTTTCTTAAAGAGCCATTGATGGAACCTTCATATTGCCAGAAGTTTTTATGTACTTGAATACACTATAGTGTCTTTTGTAGAGCCATTAAACCCTCAAATTGCCTGAAGTTCTTATTTACTTGAAGACGTTATAGTGTCATGTACAGCCATTCTTCTTCTTGTCGTGTCGACAACAAACCTACACAGTGTCACCCTAAAATTCCGCCACAAGAGTGGCGTTGTCAGTAGCCTTCATTAAATTTATCTGCGTGCAGTAGTTTGGGTACGCAGGGCACAACATCATGTGCTTCGTCGCGTCGACTGGGGAACTAAACCACACTTTCACTCCAAGTTTGAGCCATCCAAGAATCCCCACCTGAACAGATTGTCCTTACATCCGACCTGCGTCCGAAGTCTATTTAAAGACTTCCAGGTAAGCCAGGGGAACTCATGTCCAGGTGGGGGACTCTCAGACAGGGACAAAAGAACATTGAACTGTCATATTGCCAAAAGCCCTTATGTATTTGAAGACTCTAATGATGGTTTTCCGACAGGTGGCGTTGGTGAGCGTGGTGCACATCAGGGACGATCAGTGCCCACTGCCCAGCGGGATCATAGCGCAGTACCTCAAGCAGGCCAACGGGCACCTCTCTTGTCTGAAGGTAACCTGATGTTTTATCACTGCTGTTTTGTATGTCTTATGTTAAGTTTAAGTAACTTTCATATTGTACATTTTATACTGGTGAAGGTAATCTTTAGGAATCTCGCTAAGGTATAAAATTAAGAATGAGATCATTTGCTAGAAGATAGTTGATGTGGCCCGTATTTAACTGTCGCAGCGTCGATGGAAGATGGCGCGTTAAGTTATCAAGTGGAGCCCTCGTCTCGATCCTTCTCCATCACTTTTGGAAGATAGCTGGAAGTTACTTAATCTAAAAAGCAGGAGATTGTATTTCTGATGCTCCTTGGAAAAGTCTGCGTTCAGCAGTCAGACATCATGGACTCTGGAGCCAGACTTAATGAACCGCCATAGACGTCTACGCCCACAATGTCCTTACTAAAAATGAGAACAAATATCTCGCTTAGAAATCGGTCTCAGAAACTCAGAGCCGTCTCACTCTCTTAGCAAGTGGACTGAATAAAACAAAAATAATAATGATGTGAAATTATCCGTTCCGCAGCAACTATACGTTAGCGGAGACGCGTGCGGCGAAGCGGAGGGCTACGCGGAGGACGCGCACGGCGCGCTGTGCTGCGTGTGCGCGTCGCGGCCGCTGTCGCGCGCGCTGCTGCCGTGCCGCCACGCGTGCCTGTGCGCGCGCTGCTTCCGTGAGTACCGCTGTAGGCACGGGGCGGAGCGGAGCGGAGGGCTAGCGGAGACGCGCGCTGCTGCCGTGCCGCCACGCGTGCCTGTGCGCGCGCTGCTTCCGTGAGTACCGCTGTAGGCACGGGGCGGAGCGGAGCGGAGGGCTAGCGGAGACGCGCGCTGCTGCCGTGCCGCCACGCGTGCCTGTGCGCGCGCTGCTTCCGTGAGTACCGCTGTAGGCACGGGGCGGAGCGGAGCGGAGGGCTAGCGGAGACGCGCGCTGCTGCCGTGCCGCCACGCGTGCCTGTGCGCGCGCTGCTTCCGTGAGTACCGCTGTAGGCACGGGGCGGAGCGGAGCGGAGGGCTAGCGGAGACGCGCGCTGCTGCCGTGCCGCCACGCGTGCCTGTGCGCGCGCTGCTTCCGTGAGTACCGCTGTAGGCACGGGGCGGAGCGGAGCGGAGGGCTAGCGGAGACGCGCGCTGCTGCCGTGCCGCCACGCGTGCCTGTGCGCGCGCTGCTTCCGTGAGTACCGCTGTAGGCACGGGGCGGAGCGGAGCGGAGGGCTAGCGGAGACGCGCGCTGCTGCCGTGCCGCCACGCGTGCCTGTGCGCGCGCTGCTTCCGTGAGTACCGCTGTAGGCACGGGGCGGAGCGGAGCGGAGGGCTAGCGGAGACGCGCGCTGCTGCCGTGCCGCCACGCGTGCCTGTGCGCGCGCTGCTTCCGTGAGTACCGCTGTAGACACGGGGCGGAGCGGAGCGGAGAACTAGTAGGGATACCCATCAAATAAAATAGCGACAATACAAAAGGTGAAGGTGTCGGACTGGCCGACTCGAGATCCAAGAACGCTGGTTCGAACCCCGCCGCAGAGTCGCTGGATTATTATGATGCCAAAAACATTAACACTGAGTTTCACCATCTAACTTTAACCGTAACCATAACGATAACCGGTGGTTTTTGAATGGAGTTTGACAGATTTTTGACGTTTGTCAAAGTTAAAATGGTGCAACCCAGCCTAAGGCAGGGAAACATTTTTTAAACTTGATAACACTTCTCTGGTCGTCATCGACTTGTCTAAGGATGTTGATTATTTGCTCGCTCCGGCATTTTTGGTAATTATAACATTTGCCAAGTTGCGTTTCCGAGTTATTGATTTAAATTGTTTGCCAAATATCAGTAACAATGATACCTACAAGTTTTTCCCTGTAGCCAAGGCCAGCAGAAAAAACTTATAAAAATTGTTTTCCTTCACCTTGCGGACTTTCCTGGTTGCCAAGCTGATTTGATTCATTTAATTGATTAGATATTTATCTCATCTCTACGTTTGGCAATTTACGAAAAATTGCCATGATGAAAGATCCTTCGAATTGTTTTATGTTTTACCAAAATACAAGGTGGAAACGATAAAGTCATCTCACTCGATTATTTCTAAACGATACAAGATATCGAAAAACTGGTTACTGGTTCAAGTTCAGACCTGAAAGTGCTTCACGAGCTCTATCAAACGGTATGAATACAGAATAAACTGAATCTATCTGAAAATTCTATGTTTATAGCTTCCATACATTCAGTACAACCACAGAGATAACAGCAATAGATTTTTTTTTTTCATATTATATTGAAGCGATATCTCGGGAAGATTTTATGCTAAAGAAAGCATTCTTTCACAAAATAAATATTCCTACATAGAGGTCACTTTTTAAGAGTAGTAAGAGACCAAAATAAACATTAGTCATCATATCCTAACAAGGGCAGCAATGGACACGCGCCGGCGCATGTCTTGTTATTGATTCACTCCGCGCCCGGACGGTTGCACTTGGGAGACGGTGATTAGCGAGGGTGCCTGTACACTGGAAGCTATACAGTGTGTTTGGGATAGGGCTAACGATAATTGAAGGCGATGTTGTGATGACAATTTTATCGACAAAAATGCCCAATGGCTTAATTTTTTAAATTTATTTGTTATGTGACTCTACTAACAATTTTTTCTTATATGCCCGCCTTAAATTGTCGCTAGCCCTATCCCAAACACACTGTATACTGTCTAAAAAATATTTCTAATCTATTGACCTGTTTCACCACTTGCAACGACCTTGATTTATAGGTCATCATGTTGTCAGATCAACTACAACTTTTAGTTTCATAAAGATATCTTCCAGACGAGTCGCCAATAACCAGATAACTTTATTTCATAGATAGCGTTAAATGTAAGAACTATCTAACTTTTATCGGTTCCTGATATAATTTTATCAGGAACCGATAAAACTGGCACTATGTGTACAAAAATGTTCTACGAAAGATATCTGAAAGATGTTTTTTGTCTTGATAAAAGATATCACTAAAGTCTATTGTTGCTTAAATCGCGTAGATAGCATCGCTCAAGCTACGTTTCAAGCCTTTTCCGCTCATTATCATGCGCTGCGCGCGCGTACAATCGCCGATGCTCGTGATCTTCGGCTGATGTCTTCAACTTTGACTTCTTACGCCCGTATTCACAATCATTACTATGAGGTCTCACAGTGCGCGTGGACGCACTGGGTGACACACGAACCAATCACAGAGCTCTATTCAACGCTGTGCGTTCGATTTGTTGCTTCACTTAAGCAAACATCGATTGTGAGTACGGGCGTTATAGCGTCGCTCGAGCTACTTTACAAGCCTTCGCCGCTCATTAACATGCTCTGCGCGCGCGCACAATCTCCGATGCTCGTGATCTTCGCCTGATGGTTTCATCAACTTTAACTCAAACGTCTTAAAGTCATATTATGTACTAGTCTATTATCGCGCAGTATAGCATCTCTCGAGCAACGTCACAAGCCTTCGCCGCTCATTATCATACGCTGCGCGCGCGCACAATCGCCGATACTCGTGATCTTCGGCTGATGGCTTCAATTTTAACTCAAACGTCTTAAAGTCATATTATGTACTAGTCTATTATCGCTCAATATAGCATCTCTCGAGCAACGTCACAAGCATTTGCCGCTTATTATCACGCGCTGCGCGCGCGCACAATCGCCGATGCTCGTGATCTTCGCCTGATGGTTTCATCAACTTTAACTCAAACGTCTTAAAGTCATATTATGTACTAGTCTATTATCGCTCAATATAGCATCTCTCGAGCAACGTCACAAGCATTTGCCGCTCATTATCATGCGCTGCGCGCGCGCACAATCGCCGATGCTCGTGATCTTCGGCTGATGGCTTCAACTTTGACTCAAACGTCTTACGCTCGTATTCACAATCGTTACTATGAGGTCTCACAGTGCCCGTGGACTCACTGGGTGACACACGAACCAATCACAGAGCTCTATTCAACGCTGTGCGTTCGATTTGTTGCTTCACTTAAGCAAGCATCGATTGTCAGTCAGTACGGGTGTTATAGCATCGCTCAAGCTACGTCTCAAGCCTTTGCCGCTCATTATCATGCTCTGCGCGCGCGCACAATCGCCGATGCTCGTGATCTTCGGCTGATGGCTTCATCAACTTTAACTCAAACGTCTTAAAGTCATATTATGTACTAGTCTATTATCGCTCAATATAGCATCTCTCGAGCAACGTCACAAGCCTTCGCCGCTCATTATCATGCTCTGCGCGCGCGCACAATCGCCGATGCTCGTGATATTCGGCTGATGGCTTCAACTGTAAGCCTTGCGGTGACCTCTGGCAAGACGTGCTCACGGGATCAGATCAGATACTTGGCACTGATGGAATTATCAGCATTCGCGTTTGATACCTAACCTGCAATGTTTGGCTTGAAATTAATCTGCAGTTTTTTCTAATATTGTGAATGTTTTTTCCACTATTTGCCTCTGGTAGAAAGGGTCCTGCTTTTGCAGTGGAGACTAAATGTAACTGAGTTTTCTTCCGCCATATCTCCACAGCACCAGTCTATATGCTGTTCTGTAGGGCAAGTTATTTAAGATGTGAATAATTGCCCTAAAAGGGGCCTACATACTAATAAAGAATTTGATTTGAAATGACCTGATGATGATGATGAACGAATCTAACTAGAGCAGTGGTTCTTAACCGGTGGTCCCTGGAGGCATTCCAAGTGGTCCGCGAAGACATCGTAATAAACAAGTTACGTGACGTGATGAGTAGAGTCAACACAAACGCAAACGGCGCACAGTAGGCGAGTAATCGACCTCCCCTTTCATAGGTTTTAAAAAAAAAAGTGGTCCCTGACAAGACAGAAATTTGGTAAAATGGTCCCTCTTCACTTAAAGGTTAAGAACCACTGAACTAGAAAGTGAATCCTAAATATTAAAGTACATTCTTTAAATTCTAATTTCGCATAGTGCCCGACAAAGCGGCGGCAGTGATAATGAACTACATAATTAGATAGTCCATTAGGTGTACCAGCGGTTATATTTGAAGCGCATCGTCCACCGCTAATGTCAGTAAATCACGGGCGGCTTGGCGCCGGATTGCAATTTATTGTTATAAAGCTGGGGGTACACTGATGTAATTATGAATTGTACTGGCTAACTGGAATAAGGTACCCAGGTAAGGGAACTTTTTATGTAGTTAGGAAAATTCATGACATTGCACACCCACCGGTTGCGGGGTCAGTGGCTTATGTGCGGTTATCCCTGACAGAAGGGATATGTTAAAGAAACTACAAAAAAGGGGGGGAACAACTTCAGTTTGTCTGACTTAACGTCTCAGACTTTCTTCTAACTAAAGTATCCTATAAAAAAAAATCAAATGTGAAAATGGGACCCAAGTTCAATATTGCAAATATGCGTGATGAATCATGATGAATTGTAAATGGGTGCCAACGTGCCAAGTTTTGTTAGTAAGCAGATAAGTTTAAAACTTAGATACTCTGATATCATTATGGGCTGGATTGACTAGTTTGACAACCTTGATGGACCGGAGATGGCTCAGGTCGTGCGTCCGATTAAGTTTACTATCGAAGTGTGTTCGCAGGATCGTGACTGCCATTATAATTTATAGGAAAACACGAGTCAATACGTGATAGCACTACACGAATAAACTTTATGCAAAGAAGCATGGAGTTAATGGTATTGCTTGCCTTTTTTTTGTCGGGAAAAAAAATGCATAGCATTTGAAGAATAAAAAGGCATACCCACTAAAAAGATCCCGATGCTCCGTCATTCGTCTTAAGTGGTATTCTGGATAAAGACTTCATTACCACAGTCCAGTAGGAAAAGAATCACCTAACCCAACACCGCAGTGTAGCTCTGCCCTAACTTTAGTCTGCATTGACCAACAACCGGTCGGTATTTAGGCGTTTAATTGATGTGGTTAATGGGTCAGGTATGCCAAGTCAAGTTCTGCAGTGGCATACATTAGCACCTGTATTTGATGCAATGTTGTTGCGAGGAAAACTCGTTTGGTTTTAAACTGTGTCGATGAAATGGGTAGGCGCCTAAATTTGCTGCCTTCGAAACCCAGGCCTATTTTCAAATTCAAATTCTTTATGAGTATGTAAACCCCTTTTCAGGGCACTTATAAACTAAGTAAGTATATGTCCCATCAACATCTCGGCTGATGCTGAGAAGTAGTGGCGGAAGAAATCCAGTCACCTTTGTAATACAGAGTGGTGAACTTCCTACGAAAAATGCCATCTTCTTTTCAGAATAGCATTTTTAGTAAGAGCTACTAGACTGACCTTGAAGTATTGGTCAACGACTCACTCAATCCTTCATCTTGTAACCTTGAATTGAATTTTATATCATTAGGTTACGGTCAAGGTCTATCTGTATGGATAACAAACCGGTGTATTTGAATTCGTGTAATGAGAAAAGTGGTCTCTATATCGACCCCTGAGAATCTATTGTGATCTTCGAGGGCTCTATGTAAAGTGAAAAATAATTTGAAATGGAATAGGGGCCTACGATTATTTTTCTTTTCTACTAATGAAATAATGGACCATACAGCACTGATAGGCACTCACGAAGCAGACAATCCTGTATCTGTCCCTCTCACGCAAAACAAGATGCCAGTTTGAGCGATAGAGACAGACAGACGTAAACGTCTTTACATATTTTCCGTTTTATCTATGCTGCATCCAAATGATTTAATGGTTCATAAGTAAGCCCATAACCGAAGTGCGAATTTATCGCATGTATTTTTTTGTGCTAATGTCTATTTTTAGTAAAAACTGATTTGTGTTCGGTCGTTGTGGAAATCCTTAGGGGAGGCCTTTGTCTAGCTGTGGACGTCATTTTGCTGAAACGAACGAACGATTGGTTTTCCGTTGATATAAATAAATAACACCAATAACTTACTCTGACTTAACGTATTTGTTTCTCCAATTCCAGCTAAACTGGACAAGTGTCCGATCTGCCGCAGCGCGATCACCAGCTACTTCTGCATCAGGAACGACGACGAGCCGCTGTCGGAGCTCAAGCAGCAGCCGCTCTTCAACCGGCGGCTGTTCAACCTGTTCCACTACCACTAGCCTTGAGGCAGGTATGTAGATGGTAGAAGATCACTTTCTCTGCCTTCCAGCCAAACTGGACAAGTGTCCTATGCAGATCACCAGCTACTTCTGCATCAGGAATGATGACTAGCATACAGCAGCTGCTCTTCAACCGGCGGCTGTTCAACCTGTTCCACTACCACTAGCCTTGAGGCAGGTACGTAGATGTGTAGAAGATCTTTCTCACCGCCTTCCAGCAAAACTGGGCAAGTACCCAGTCCCGGATCTAAGGAGGGGCAACTGGGGCACATGTCTCGGGCGGCAGTTTCTTGAACCCCCCCTGCCGAAAAATAAGGGAGGGGGCGCCACGCCACTTTCAACTTCAACCGCGCTTTAATAGGCGGCTGTTCAATCTGTTCCACTACCACTAGCCTTGTGGCAGGTACGTAGATGTGAAGATCTCTCTTTCCCTTCTAGCTAAACTGGACAAGTGTCCTATCTGCTACTTCTGCATCAGGAACGACGACGAGCCGCTCTCGGAGCTCAAGCAGCAGCCGCTCTTCAACCGGCGGCTGTTCAACCTGTTCCACTACCACTAGCTAGTGTTCAACCTTCCAGCTGGGCAAGTGCCCAGTCCCGGATCTAAGGAGGGGCAACTGGGGCACATGTCTCTGGCGGCAGTTTCGTGGACTCCCCTCCCGAAAAACACTCCACTATCAGCTTCAACCGCTCTTCAATAGGTGGCTGTTCAATCTGTTCCACTACCACTAGCCTTGAGGCAGGTATGTAGATGTATAAGATCTCTCTCTCCGCCTTCCAGCCAAACTGGACAATTGCCCGATCTGTCGCAACGCGATCACCAGCTATAGATCGTTTCATCCACGAAGACGCGCCCCACCATTCTTCCGCTAATGTTTGAGTGTTATCGGTAGACGCCAAATTATTCATGAGTGCACACGCACACTTCAATAATGACGCTCGGATTGCTCGGATCAAACTCCCCGCACACCGCGCTTCTCTCGACTTAAAATGGCGGGGCGCGTCTTCGTGGATGAAACGATCTATACTTCTGCATCAGGAACGACGACGAGCCGCTCTCGAAGCTCAAGCAGCAGCCGCTCTTCAACCGGCAGAAATTGTCTCTTCTTACAAAAATATTTTAACTTATTTACGCCCGTATTCACAAACATTACTATGAGGTCTCACCGTGCGCATGGACACACGAACCAATCACAGAGCTCTATTCAACGCTGTGCATTTGATTTGCTGCTTCACTTAAGCAAGCATCGTTTGTGAATACGGGCGTAAAATAATACAGTACGTGTCAATGAACGAGTAGGTAATAAAGAGTTACAGTCCTCTCAACTTAAGCTGACAATTGCATTTGTATGAGTGCACACCGATAGTTTAGAGTGGCAATCGGCTTGAAGCGCGGCGCGTCCCGCGCATGGTTTATTATAGCAAGCGGCCTGAAGCGCGGCGCGTCCGCCACGCACCGCTTCCTTGTCGCTCACATACTTCACTTCACCCCCGGTACTGGTAGCAGATACGTGTAATTTTATGTAATTGTGTTCCAAATATTAGTGAAATGGCTCCTACTGTAAGTGAATTTCCTGTACGAAATCCATTAAGCAGCCAAGTGAAAGAAATTTTATGCAAATTGAATACGTATTTTAAAGGTGTGAACGAAAAGTTTTTAGTCTGTTTTTATTTTGTAATTTTATAAAGTTTGTCTTTTTGTTGTATTTTGTAAGGCTGGCTGAACGCCCTCTCTATAAACGGTGCTCGCAGAATATCATCGTCGAGGTACTTCGTGCCTTGGCATATGCTGAGCGAGGACCTGTTTTTATTTATTTATTTATTTAAAAGGATGTGTCAAGTGTCGTTACATTGGCCCAATTGGTAGCAAGTGTTTTATAGACTTCCTTTTAATAAAACATTAATTTTATTTGTATGTGTTTTACTAACGGTACTTTTGGCGATCACTCACACAAATGCAATTCTCAGCTTAAGTTGATAGGACTGTACTCGTGTGTAAGGACTTATGACAGCTCGACAGAGCAATGGCTCATTGATTGTGATACACGAGTAACTCGATTTATTACTCGTTCATTGACTCGGACATACTAGCACTAACATTACCCTAGGTATTATCCTCCTCCTGTTCAAATCATATTATTTTTAAATACATAAGCATTAAGTAGACTATTGCTTGAATCAGTTAGTGCCTGAACTATGCGGTATGGGACGGTGTTTTTGTAACGTCATACGTCAGCGAGTCTTCAGAGCTCCTTCAGTGGGTAGACAAAACACACTTTTTGATCGAATCGAAAATCGAATCCGTCAAAACTCCATACAAAAAAGAGGCTTTTCGACCACTTTTCGACTGGTTTGCGATTATAATTTGCACTTTGTCTAGACCCACAGTTCTGTCACGCCATAATATGTCAATGTCACCCCTCCCGTGCCGCATGTCAGTGTCTGACTGAGTTATGAAGACTTATAGTCAAGTCGTTAATTTATTGAAATCCAGCCATTGTTTTTTCAATTTTCATAAAACAACAATACAATATCACTGTCAAAATACTCGTATTTATGATTATTGACGACTGTTTATTTTCTTTTATTTCCAGTGAGATGCCATAGACATCACAAACGAGACAGAATATTGTACTTCAGTAACTGTAGACTGCGTATTTACCGGTCACACCTAGAATGTACCGGTTGAAGTGCTGAACTCAAATGATTTTAGTGAAACTTGTTTTTTTAGTTTTAGCCTTTACGTTCTACTCGGACTTTCTTGTGATTTAGTTTAGTTCTTTGAAAAGACGTTCAATTGGATATATGATATTCAATGACTGTAGGTATTATGTGGTAACAATAATGTGACTGTTGGATCGGCTTTATTCGAGCAGCTAGAACCATGGTGTACAATGTTGAAGAAAAATTTCCTATACCTTGTAAAAATAAAATAATTTATTCCTTACTAATAACACTACTATACATTTCGCACGTAATCCTAAATTATCACTTACCATACTAATTTGTAGCTAGCTAGAAGAACCCTTAACCAGGCTCAGGAAAAAAATATTTTCCTTGGTTTTCAACCGTATCTTCACAGCATAAAGTTCAAATCGATTTGGGCTTGGTTAAGGGACATAGCACATCTTCCTCGCGAATCCATGACTACCAAAACATACTTACTGTTATTAATATAAGTTTTTGTTGAAGATTAATTTGTATGAGTCTGACGGCGCCATCTGGTGGCCAGAATACGAACGACTAATGAAACTTTTCCCTGTGTATTGAATTTCAGAGACTGATACTCATTTCCAAATGCTCGAGTAACAGTACTCGTATAGTAAGGTCTCAGGTTTGGGTTAAGCCTAGGCTGGCCTAGGCAGACCACCGATTTTTAGTTGGCCGATAGTTGGGTTGAACTGTTAATCAGTACGGAGATGTATGAAAGTGCACACATTACACTGATTTGGTGTCGGCCGATTCTTCATTCAAATTAAAATCGGGCCTAACTATCGGCCAACTAAAAATCGTTGGTATGCGCCTAGTCTAAGTCACTTTTTTACGCAGTCGACATTGAATGCGTTTGACGTAAACTTACACTACGCCCCCAGAACTATTTAGGTCTCAGATTTGGGTTTGTGTTAAAGATTATTAATAATATTTTAAACAAACATACAGATTGTTTCTAGCTGTTCGTGTATGGCCGACGTGTATGTTATTAGTCAGTGTGGGTGCAAATATGGAACTGTGATAGCTGGGAAGCTTTGTGAATTTGCTACAATGTAAATAAATATTATAGTTTAATATTACCGAAATACTGTGACCCTACTCTGCGAAACTATTTCTTCTTACATAGAACAGGAAAAGGGCATAATAATGTAGGCAATGGATAGAATATAATATTTCTTGACAAATGATAATTATAATCATTAATGAATGAAAATTGCACCCGTATTCACAAACGATGCTGGCTTAAGTGAAGCAGCAAACCGAACGCACAGCGTTGAATAGAGCTCTGTGATTGGTTAGTGTGTCACCCTGCGTCCACGCGCACTGTGAGACCTCATAGTAATGTTTGTGAATACGGGCGTCAGACTACATTAGATTACAATCTCTCCTAATCTAACCCACTGTTAGTTTATAATCTCACGCGTTAAATTATAAACTGACGGAGTTCACAATTTCACGTGGACATAAACATCGTTGATGCAAAATAGCACTTATTGCAGCTACATAAGATGCCTCAATGATAAACTTGATGTATTGTCGTTCTTAAAACTGTCTGTCTCGAAATAATGCTATTGCCCGCCACTGTGTGCGAGTGAGACGAATAGAGCCATTGGAGATTTAGTTTCGTAGAGTAGAACAAAGTAGTGGTTAAGACGACGTTGCTCGTTTAAATAGTATAGTAATCTATCCCAATCCAATGCTAAGTCTGGGGCCTGTTTCACCACTTGATAAAGTCCCAGATAGGACATAGGAATTTATCTGCTAGATATCTATTAGTGATACTTTTTGTTTCACAGGTCTCGAAGAGATATCTGGGAGATAAACTTTCCGTTATCTAGCACCCTTTATTGTCTGTTAGTATAGTTTTATATGCCAGATAACTATCTGAAACTTTATCAAGAATTTGTAAAACAAGCCCTAAACTAATTTTTAAGTTTGATTTCAAATATGAACAACAAATGTAAAATTGGACGTGCATATCTCATCAATACCAGGATTGTGTGCACCACCTAACTTTAACCGTAACTGTAACGATAACCGTTGTTTTTTTTTTTAAGTTTAACAGGCTTTGTTAAAGTAAGATGGTGCAACTGCAACACAGCCATAACACATATCGTTTTGGATTGGAATCGATTACTATGAATATGCAGAAGATTGCACTTTTGTAAAATGAAATTAATGTTATTCATCCATTTCTAGATCCTATATCTCGTAAGTTTGTACGATTTTAACTTCAAAATTTGATTGTGTGATATAACTAAGGACATCATTTTGATAGAGGTATCTACCAACCTATTTATTCATTTAAAACAGTACAATATCGCAATGTTTTGTCACTTTCTGACAAGTGTGAAGAAAAGAGACAGCACTGTTTTAGTTGAGGCGTTTTGTAGGTCTGTTTTATGATAAAGATGTAATATTGTCCATACCCACTTTTAGATGAATTTCTAATTGGGGTCATTAATTTGATATCACGTTCGATTATAACGTAACGGCGATGGAAAATTGAAGTAAAAGTGTAATTATTAATTTAGTGTCTTTTTTACCCAAAAGACAAGAATGGTATTTGATGCCAGTTTCACTCAAGCTTTTAAACAGTGAATATTTGGAATCTAAAATAAGGCTGAGTTGCACCACCAAATTTTGACCGTAACTATAACGATAACCGGTGATTTTTGTCTGGAGTTTGACAGATTTTTGACGTTTGTTACAGTCGAAGTAAGATGGTGCAACCCAGCCTTAGTATATCAATCAATCATGACAGTGGATCATTACTAAATGTAACCAACTAAATAATATTATGGGTTTCCAAAATTTCGCTGTCGCTAAGATCTTTGTTTTTGTTGTATTTTCAAATTACTGGCCCGAATTAGAAATACGAATTTAGTTATAATAAAAACCATGTAGTCTTCCAATTAGTGACCAAACGTAATGGCATAGATCTCATTTTTGCTTGATATCGCCTAACCGAGTGCTTAGCATACCCACGTAGGTACCAATCGCAATATAAAGTCAATTTTAAAATTCAAAAGATGAATAACTATGAAAATGGTATTATAGGTCACCACATAGCAATAACTTGAAACTTTGACACTATTAAACTACTCCATAAAGGTGAATTCACATTGGTACGGGATACGAGCTGTTACTTGCATACCCGGGTTTTTGTAGACAAGTAAGAATATTCCTTAAATGATCTGTGAGTTCTTTTAGACGAAAATACCTGATGTTAACAGAACACACTATACAATTTAGCTGCAAAATAGCAAATATTCATCTTACAACAACTTGGAATGTTTATCTTCGAACACAAGCTCAATTTCATTAACCTTTTGTTTTGAAGCAGTATAGTATAATAGTGTCATAACGAGTGTCACTCAGAATATGTACTCAATTTGATTAAATTAATACATAAATGCATCATATGAAATCATCGTGTCAGATTGTAAATTTTGTACCGTCCAACTTAAGCAATTTTCATTTTTTGACATTTATTATGTATTTTTAAATAGGCTCCATAATTACAAAAAAAATTTTATTGTTCGTAACTTCAGTGACGTTTGCTTTGTACAGTTTTTAAATTGACAGGCATTCGACCAATAACACGACAGTTGTTTTATTCTCTCTGGTTGTGCTTTGAAACCACAGTTTAAATTAACAGTTTGTTTATTGATCAAATCCCTCAAGATGTCACCGTCACGACTGCTTTTATCTAGTCAGCAAAACATTTTCCACAAACAAAACGCAAGATATTGTAAACCTTTTATAGTTCGCTCAACGAGAGTTGAGGCCATCAACACAAGCTAAGATTTGTATCTTTATACGCTGCCTGCGCTGACGTCTTGCGTAGTCGGACTGAAAAGTGCTTTCTGTCTCGCTTGCAGACGTATAACAAGAGCGAGGTAGCTTGCGTATTCGATATTTGAACGTGAATGTGTAATGTGTTGTGTGAGCATCAACTTTCGTTGGGTGACTTATACAGGAGCCTAATATTGGTAAATTCATCGTTATAATTTGTCAGAGGTCATTTAAATCAAGCACTACTAAATAAGTCATAGCTTAGGTCACCTAACTCGACGCCCTAAGAGGCTAGTGTGTAAAGAGCAATGAGATAGAGAATGTATATTTTTGTCTAGGACATGTAACTGAAACAGAATAAATGTAAGAGTTATTGCCAAAGTGTATGGTTGTATTATTTTACAAATTTCTATCCCCTAAGTCCAGATTGGAGAGCCTTCCAGGCAGATATTTATTATTTAACTTCCAAAAATCGCCCTAATCGGAACAATAAAAAACTTTCTTATTCCAGTAGTAACATTTGTTAAAAGTGGCAACACTGGCAGTTAAATTCAGTTTGTCGTCCTGTGTCGTGTTCTTTTTTCGTGGAATTGTGGTTATTTTGTTGATGTACCCTACATCTTGAGAATTTATTGCATCGCGAAAGCCGGTGGAAGAAGTTTCATTAGTGCAGCAAGATCACATCGAACTATTAGCTGAGTGAACAGCATCTGCAGAAAACCAGGTGAGCCTAAACGCAACTATTTATTTTATCTCAACCCATTTTTATAACGACGGGAAACCAATATAAATTAAAGTCAGATAGCCAGTTCCTCCGCGGTTAAGGATTCCGGGTGAAGCTAGCTTGCACCCGGCCTGATCATCACTTACCATCAGGTGAGATACAAACCAAGAGCTTCCTCATTGTGGATAAAAAACAATTAAACCACCACATACAACTATCTATTTATTCAACCTTATCTACCTCCTCCCTTTCTTTCTGCCTCTCCACATACAACTGTGAGTGACTGACAGCCGCGTACAGACTGAACAGTACATGTAGAGCCCTGATCCTGTCAACTAGGGTGTCTTTTTTTATCCACAACGAGGAAGCTCTTGGCCTGTATCTCACCTGATGGTAAGTGACGATCAGGCCGAAGGTGAAGGCGAGCTTCACCCGGAATCCTCAACCACGGAGGAACTGGCTATCTTACCTCTAACTGCCGGAACACAACAATGCTGTTTTAACATTGTTGTTATGGCGACAGACTTAGGTAAGATGGTGGTAGTAGCTAGCCAGGCGGACTTAGAACAAGCCCTACCACCAACCAAACCAAACAGAAAAATCTGCCCTCACTGGGAATGGAACCCAGGACCTGTCTGAAGCAGGTGGTCTTACCACTAGACCACAGAGGCGGTGTCTCCCGCCACTGGAATGTCAAACAGTCCGCATACCAGGAGACCGAACAATTGAAGGTCGCATTTTCAGTAAACACGCAACTCACGTGTAACTTATACATACACACTGTACCTGGCCCAAATGGTGGTACATTAACACGCCATAATAAGCCTTATTGCCTAAGATACGAAATAAAACCACCACATTACTTACAAAATCTATTTTATTCAACCTTATCTACTTCCTCCCTCTCTTTCTGCCGCTCCACATACAACTGTGAATGACTGACAGCCGCGTACAAACTGAACAGCACATGTAGAGCCCTGATCCTGTCATCTAGCGTGTCTCCCGCCACTGGGATGTCAAATAGTCCGCATACTAAGTCCGCGTAC